ACCAGGGACGCGCATCCTTTTGGTAGGACCTCTAGTGGCCGCCACAACTGTCCAGGTATGGGAGGGTTGGGCCGCGGGGGAGGGTTCCGGAACAGAGGTCGGTGCCTCGCGAGCTGTGCATACGAGGTGGGAGGTATCGGCGCGCTGGTTAGAGGAATTGGTGGCAAGGGATGCCAGAACAGCGGATGGCGCCGCTTCAGCGCGGTGGGGAGGGGTGAGAATAGAGCCGGGACGTGCCGCGCCCTCGATCAGCGTAAGGTGGTGCCTGGTTAGCACTTGTAAGACCTTTTGGCCTCTGAGCTGATGCTCAGGAGGTAGAAGGTCTAGGACGCCAGCGACGGCGTCAATCACTTCCGAAGGCCGGTAAAGAGAAGCCGACACACCGTTGAACTTATTGAGGAGCTCGTCCAGGCCCGCTGGACCAGACTCCCGTGGGGATCCAATTTCCACGCTGACAGGATTTACCATTTCTTCATCGGGAGACACAAGCGAGCGTGGACTCAATTCGGCGCGAGACGAATTCGGATAAAAATCACCAAAATCATAGTTTTCCAACGAATGAGTGCAGGCTTCATCAATCTCCACGTCGCTGTCATCAGCGCACAAATCATGCCAATTGATTTTACTCGAAGCCGGATCCCCACGGTGTCCAAGCGAGCGAGAGACCATCCCACCATTTTTACCAATAGATTTCCTCGGAATGAGATCACCTCTATCTTTACCTTTCCCCTTCGCACCACGGAAAGTCACGGCTTTGTCGACCATGGGTTCGCCCTTAGGGGCTCCTGTGATAATAGCTTCCCTGCTGAGGATAGAGTCCTCGATACCAGACTTGTGTGCACTCGATGGCTCTTCGCGACACGGGCTGTCGGGCGGGAAGAGGGGAGGGGTTAGGTCCGATGATTCGTGAACGTCTCGAACTGTCATAAGAAAACAAAAGAACTTCACAAGCCATGACAACGTATAAGCAAATCGCGGGATGCCAATCCAGGTCAATCACTCGCCCCGGTCGTTTCGGATACTCTCGTGTCAGTTTTCAGCGGAATCTTAGGGACGGCTTCGCAGCGTGAGGAATTGTAATACATCGCTGAATCTCATATTCGATTTATTCAACTCCAGACGAATGTCCGTGAGACGAAATTTGAAATCCTTACACCCGTTTCCAACGCGCTCTATGCCACGGACCGGAATTACTTCATTCCAGGAGACTGAGAGCTGACTCGGATCTTTGCAGGTGAGGAGCGAGGAGAGGGAGAAATTTCCTGACTCCCTGGTTTGAAGGAAACACGAGTTGCGGTCATCATCTTAATGAGCGCGGTCTTTATACACGGATCTTTGACGAGGCATAGAGTGCTGCACCATCATGGAAGTTTATTGGATGGCGAGAGGAGGGTTGGTTGATATTTGTTGCCAAATGTTCGCTCGCTTCTCATTGGGAACCCCTCGGTAACCCTCGTGTTCCATAATGTGACTGCAAGTCCAGCTGCTGCTCAATAATTAGTCCTTAGCATGTCTCTCGGCATCGTGCTCGTTCCTCTGAAGATATATACATACAGCTTAAACGAACGATAACAGTGCTCATGGAGTCCATGACACGGACGGCAACTTTTGAGTTACCCTCCTTTTCGTGCCATTGCTGGAGAACGGCGATAGTCACCAGGACGAAGGGCGTTCTAATATCATATTAGTAATATGCTCCCTTGTCGTCCAAGTCTCGGAAGGAATGGTATGCACAAGTGGACATAGGCTGACGACTTCCACTATCGCTCGCCGTCACACAAGTGGGACAACCGGGCAGTTTCGTTTGTCATGCTCATTCCTGTGCCTGCGTTGGGCTCATCAACAATCCGTATGAGTCATCGGGGTAG